GGTAAATATGAGTGAGAATTGAGTGAGTTAATATATGCAAAGCACTTAGAATAGTGCCTGGCACATATTAAATACTATGTTGAGTGTCGGTTAAAGAAAATGCCCGTTTGTCGGTTACATTACCTTATACGTATGCCACAGAACAGCAGAATTGATGAAATATTCAAATATACTAGCATGACTCAAGTGAAATTTCACCAACTTATTAATATAATAAAGATTTCATTGTAAGTTTCTGCGCTTGAGTCTCTCCCTCAGAACCGTGACAAACTTGGCCTCGGCTCTTGTGAGGATGATGAACGGGCTTCGTTAACAGCAAATTCAGTAGGTATCTGACTGGTGGCTGCCAGGACAAGGGAGCTAGTCTGACTCTGAGTTGTGCTGACACATCTGTAGTGTCCTCACCAGTCATACCACTCTGAAGGCATATTTGCTCCATTCTCGGTGGCGCATTCAATCGGGTGACAGACGTAGCCTACGCAGCCCCGCCGGCAAGAATGGGAACAGCAGATCGAAGTTCTAGGGGGGAAGGAATTCGGCTCTGTAAAAGGGCGAACACAGAAGAGCTCTTCAAACATAACCTGGGCTTCCCAACAGTTGGGAATCACATCACTGGGAATGTTCCAGTAAGTTTTATGACCAGGTGGTGGCACAATTTTGATAACAACCACCACAGTCATTTGCTAAATGCCTATTGTGTCTGTCCTAGGTCCTTTACATACAGTATCTTCAATCCTCCCCAAACTTATAATGTAGTCACTATTCACAAGTTATAGGCGAGAAACTAAGGCCCAGAGAGATTAAATTTCCTAAAACACATAGCTACGATGTGGCAAGGCTATGATCTGACCCAGGTCCCCTCAATTCCATAGCAGACATCCTTTCTACAATTCTACACTGCCTTGAGTTGAAGAGTCAATGACATTTAATATTCCTTTCAATCCTGAGAGAATGTGATTCCGGGAAATTCTATCCTTCTAAATCTGTATCTAGATCTTCCCTAACCGTTTCTATGACACTGGAACAGCAGGTGTCTTTATCAAGGGGAAAAATGCACGTCTTATCTTTCTTAATGTTGGTTTCTTACTTGAGTAAAGAGATGGGTTACAAGCTTAACCCACCACTCAGCATGTCAATAGTCAATGAAATTAACAATAAACTGTACTATGTAGAACAGGTGTGGCATTTCTTACTCCTGAATTTACTTCTTAGAGAATGAGATTTTAAAATCTTCTGTAAAAAAAAAAAGAGGAAATATTTTTTCTGTCAATAAAAGTTCCAAATGAACAAATAAGTGGCGGTAAATCTGTGTCCTCACCCCTCCACTCTTCCTCTTTAGCTCTCTATTAAAACATGATAAATCTGTCACAGTCATCTCTCACCAACTGGAGGTAGTAAAAGATACATTCCTGAAAAGTGTCCTGTTAGCTAAAACCTTCATTGGCAAGTTCCGGGTTTCACAGAAAATAGGGAACTTACAAGAGAATCCAACAATAATATTGATAATAAATTAAAAAAAAAAAACCTCTTTTCCCTCTGTTGTTCATGAGCTCATATCCTGAAAGCCATGATCTGCTGTGGGAGATGGGGTTTATTTTATATTAACCACACTTCCCTTTTTAAAAAGTTCTTGGGGCACCTGGGTGGCTCAGTCAGTGAAGCGTCCGACTTCGGCTCAGGTCATATCTCAAGGTTCATGACTTTGAACCCGGTGTCGGGCTCTGTGCTGACAGCTCAGAGCCGGAGCCTGCTTCTGATTCTGTGTCTCCCTCTGTCTCTGCCCTTCGTCGGCTTGCACTCTGTTTTTCTCTCTCAAATATAAAGATTAAAAGAAAAAAAAATTTTAAGTTCTTGTTGTAGCCTTTAATGTATTGATATTTAATGCTTTCTTGCATTTGCTTTCTGTGTAGTATCATTTTTGCCAGCCTCGACAACATTCTTAGTAGCCAGCTGGTCTCTCCACAAAAGGAGGGCATGGTGTTTCTAGACCCGGCTTCCTACTGTTGTTCTCTACTGTCATCTAGGGACAGGGTGGAGAACAGGAGACCTCCTCCATCTTTACCCTGTGACCTTCACATGGGGTAGGAGTGGGGATGAGGGGAGGGATCACTGCAGCTAAGTTCTTTGGCGTAAAGCAACGAGACCCTTCCGGACATACCAAGATTTCAGACCTTAAAATTCGAGCACACAAACGTGAAACCACAGTGTGGAAAATTTAGGACTGGCAAAATGGTGGGTGGCTCACCAAGTATTATTACACGAATCTTGGAAATCTTCAGTACTTAATATTTTAACTATACCCCCAGAGCTAGAATTCAAATTTAGCATTCAGTTATGGGGTCCAAAGGGGGAAACATTCAAACAGAAGTCCCTCCACACTCAGGTCAGAAAGAATCATGGAGTCGTGGAATTAGGAAGCTGGTCCCACTTCCAGAGGAGGGAACCCAGAAAGCCTACCTGACACGGGACAGGCCACAGAACCGGCCCTTTCATTTAGTATTCTCAGAGTTTCTCACACACCGTACCCAATAATCTGTGTCTTGCGTGCTTGAAACTATCCTGACAGAGGTTGTATTTGTACCTGACACCTCAGTACTGATTGGGTACAGACACAGAATTTGGGAATGATCATGAAAACGGAGCTTCATAGACCCCACATTCCTAAAGAATGAGGAAGAATGTCCCCTGGAGAGGTTTTTAGTTGCCTTCTGCTTTTGCCTACATGTGTAAGTTCGAGTGCTGGAAATGTTTATGATTCACTCAGCTGAAGAAATATCATTATTTACTCTTCTCCCTCTCCCCACAAAAAACAGTCATTGTATTTCATGACTTTAGACACCATTCACTTAACTGTTCCTCGTTTACATCCAAGAGTTCCAAGGGAGGAGTGGGGGGAGGCTCCTTGAATACTAGCCTATGAGGACAACATGGTAATAGACAATATAAAGCCAGTTTATCTAGCACAAGTAGAACTGAATGATGGATGGATCAGAATGTGGAAGGTGGAATACTGTCCAGCCTGAGAATCAAGATTATCTAGACAGAATTCTAATGTTGCTTTCAGCCGGTTAAGAATCATTAGAATCTTGGGGCGGCTGGGTGGCTCAGTCGGTTAAGCGACTAACTCCAGTTCTGAGCAAGATCTCACAGTTCGTGAGTTTCAGCCCCGCATAGGGCTCCCTGTCAGCACACAGCCTGCTTCGGATCCTCTGTCTCCCTCTCTGTGCCCCTCCTCCGTGCTCTCTCTCTCTTCTCTCAAAAATAAACATTTTCAAAAAATTTAAAAAAAGAATCATTAGCATCTTGGGGCACCCGGATGGCTCAGTCTGTTGAGCATCCAATTCTTAATTTTGGTTCAGGCCATGATCCCAGGGTTGTGGGATTGAGCCACGAATTGGGCTCTGCACTGGGCATGGAGCCTGCTTAAGCTTCTCTCTCTCTCTCTCTCTCTCTCTCTCTCTCTCTCTCTCTCTCAAATAAAAAACAAACAACTAAACAAATACAAAGAATCATTAGCATCTCAACACCATAGGGGGAAAAAACCACTGCTGGGGAGTCAACCTCTTTGTCTCCTTTCCTTAATGACCCCTTTTGTGATCCCCTGTTTACCTGAGAACACAGAAGACATAAAGAAATGGGTGTGGGCCATGCCTCTGGCACTGGGCCTCATTCAGCATTGACAGCTCCATAATGAGTCTGGAGTTCAAACTTAATAAGAAGCAGACTGGAAAGGAGAAAGCTGTGTGAAACTCTATCAGGTATAGTGTTTTGAAGCTGAATGGGACTTGATTTGTTTCCTGTACTTCTGTAACTCAAGTTACAGGCTTTTCTTTCTTCCTTTTTTTACTTACACCTTTGTTTTGTTTTTCCAGTTCCAGAAACATTGACACTAAAGAGACGAGAAAGCGATTTTAATGTTAGCTTGCCAGTCCTCTATTGCTGGCCCTTTCTAAGGTGAAAGAAGAAGGTCTAGTATATATCTCAGTCTTAAACATCTAAAATCAGCAAGGTGTGACCTTGGCTTTGCCTTTGAAAGCCATGTACTCAAGCTCTAAACAGGACATCGCGTTTCTTTTGCTCAGCAAAACTTCAATTTTAGGAGCGTGGGCCTGAGTTGCACATAGTAAATGGTTTTTTTTAACTGTTGTGCTCAAATGAATTAAGTTCTATACGAAGAATAGCAGCTCTGATGTTATGACAGTCCCCAAGTGTAGTAAGAAAGTGGAGTTTGCAAAGGAAAGATCAGACATGCAAAGTATCGACGTCCAAAATCTCTGGCTGTAGTTTGCAAAGGAAAGATCAGACATGCAAAGTATCGACGTCTAAAATCTCCAGTCTGGTTCAGCATCTCACTTTCACCCACTGAACTAAGTTCTTTTTCTTGTGTAAAACCCACTCAGCAATCTAAGGCAGAAAGTTTTCCCTAAACAAATAAGAAATGGGGATGAAATATGGGATAAACCTTGAGCTTAAAAAAAAAAAATCAATAGTTCTGTGAGGACTTGCATTTTTATAAGACGTTTTAGTCTTTAGAACTCCACAAAAGCAAGAAGTATAAGCTCAATAAATGGCTGTTATTAGACAGATGGGAACAACAGCCAGTATCAATAATGGTCTTTGGTGAACTGAGAAATATCCAGGTAGCTATTTTCATGGATTGATTGATCAGTATTTTAAATGTAATTGTCTGGTGGTCGTAAGGATGGAATCTTACGGGTTTTATAGAACTATCATAAATGGTTTCTTGACTACTCGTCAGTAAGACTCAGCCAGATGAGTGTATTAAGATCGAGAATGAGAGAATCAAGAGGTCAGGGAGACAGGGGCACGGCCTTTTCACTAGTCAGAGGAAATATTCCCAGACAAGATGCCATGGTTAAAAACTTGGGAGGTGAAGTCCTCCTGCAAACAAACAATAAGCAGATAGGAAGGAATCTTTGTCCTCACAGACTTCGGGAAATGAGAGAACATCATTTCATGGTACAATAAAAAACATCACCTGGGATGTTACAACAGCATGTTTATTGAGCACTTGCTAAGCGTCAGGCATAGAGCTCAGCACTTCCCTGAAACCGTCTCATTTAATTTTCAGTGCCACTCCGTGGCACGTGTACTGCTACTGTCCCCGTATGAAAGATGGGGAAGTTGAGGCTTTATAACTTTATGGCTTGCCCCAAATCATAGAGCTGGTAAACAGTAGATTGTCCATACAAACCCAGGTCTGTTGCACCTCAGTGTCTATGTTCCCAAATCCCATGAGTACCAAGACTCACCCTGATGGGACTGGTCTCCGATGGACACGTTAGGAACGGACCTACCAAAGACAGAGTGATGATATACACACGGTCAATAAAATGGTTTGATTCCACATCTCCTATCTTTGGACTGTATATCCTTCCTGCCCTTTTTTTCTCCCCCTCTCGGTCAGATTAAATCTGCAGTAATAGAGCCTCCAAAGCCCCATGAGATATGTCAGATTGCAGGGGGAAAAAGTCAATTAATTAAAACCCTAGTTGAGAGTGGAGAGATGGGTGAAATAGGTGAAGGGGATTCAGCTTCTGGTTATAAAATACACAAGACACGGGGCTGAAAAGGGAATATAGTCAATAATATGGTAATAACCTTGCATGGTGACAGATGGTGACCGCACTTACCACGGAGAGCGCTGAGTAAGGTAGAGAGTTGTTGAATCACTGTGTTGTACATCTGAAACTAACATAACATTGTATGTCAACTATACCTCAATAAATACATTTTAAGAAAGCACTTAAGCCCTGCCTATGTCCTAGGCATCCTCTTTTCTCAAGCAGCTGGCATGTGATAAGAGAATACAAAAAACTTAAACCCCAATTAGAATCTGTGAGGTGAACACTGTGCCAGTGCTACGTAGAGTGAAATCATGGGGGCTAACAGGATGGGCACAGATTTTAGTGTCTTTGTGTTTAGAAAATAAGAGATCTCAAATTCTTCTTTTCCATTTCAGTTTCACATGTGTTTCAAGGTTACAACATATTCTAATAGAGAAATGGGGGCAGGGGAAGGGTTTACACAATCTTAATATTTTTTTGAATGTTAAGCACCAGCACACATTCTTTTCCAAATACTTTCAAGGGCATTTTCTTAGAATCAGGTAAATGAGAGCAAGCAAGTGACCTACTTACAGCAAAAAAATGCTCCAGGTTATAAAGGATGGGGAGCCAAGTGCATCCTGGAAACCACAGCATCTGGTCTTGTTTTATGCTTCATCTATCAATCTGCTGTTACAGAAATTGAGAATTAATGTTTCAACTACTGTTTCTTCAGTTTTGGCTGATGAATTCATATCTTTGTTCCTCTCACCCAATCCTTCGCATCTCCTCTCCCATGTAAAACACCATATGGAAGACCATTTATGAAGGTCCCAAACGAATCCTAGGGAAGAGGACTCATTCGCCTGTGCTTTAAATCCTCTGCTAATGAACTATAGTAAGGTTAGACTTCTTCCCAAGCAATTCTGTTTTGATGGATCGTGACTTTCCACAGACAGTATCACTTGAACAGTGTTATTTTCAGTACTGTATGAAGCTGAATGATAAAATATTGCAGATTTATTTATTTATTTTTTTTAAAGTTAGGTTGTATATTTGAGATTTTTACTTTTTTTTTTTTAATTTTTTTTTTTCAACGTTTATTTATTTTTGGGACAGAGAGAGACAGAGCATGAATGGGGGAGGGGCAGAGAGAGAGGGAGACACAGAATCGGAAACAGGCTCCAGGCTCTGAGCCATCAGCCCAGAGCCTGACGCGGGGCTCGAACTCCCGGACCGCGAGATCGTGACCTGGCTGAAGTCGGACGCTTAACTGACTGCGCCACCCAGGCGCCCCAAAATATTGCAGATTTAAAATAAATACCCAAGTTCTAGATGATGTTTATTGCTCGCCTAAACTGTAAAAACGTCCACTTGGCAGTAGTGTTTAAGAAAAAGGATCGTGTAGCAATGTAAGGTTGTGGCTTAGTGCCATCCGGATAACATTAGAAAATCACGTACACGCATATTTTAAATTACGTGTAAAAAATTTTTTAAAGTTTATTTATTTTGAGGGGCAGGGGAGAGGGGGAGGGGCAGAGGGAATCCCAAGCAAGCTCCACACAGCCAGCATGGAGCCTGACGTGGGACTCAATCCCATGAACCATGAGATCATGACCTGAGCCGAAATCAAGAGTTGGATACTTGAGCCACCCAGGCGCTCCTAAATTATGTGTGAAATTGAAAACACAGAAGCATGAAAAGTAGATTTACGACATGTTCTTTAAACTTTGCTATTGCATCTTTTAGCTCTCTGTGCTTTTTATAGAATGGGGCTACCAATTCATCTTTCCATTCCTTCCAAACTGCTGAAATTTTAATTTTTCGTTGCTTTTGCCTCAACTCCATCTTATTCTTTCTATTGGAGCTTCAAGCACTTAATCTTGGTTTTTCACAGTGTTTTTATGGCTTCAGGTACAGCTTCATATTCTTGCTTTACTTTTCTTCTCCAACCATTCTATTTAACTTGTCAAAGTAATAATGAAGATTATTCTATACTGATGAAATGTTTTTAAAAGAACCAAGGCTACCAAGTGACTATTATACTGGCATAATTACTGCTATATAACTTTATCTATTTGTTGAAGTTCTGCTCTTTTCTATTTTTTTAAAGTTTATTTTTTTATCTTGAGAGAGAGAGAGAGAGAGAGAGAAAATGCAAGTGGGGGAGGGGCAGAAAGGGAATCCCAAGCAGGCTCCATGCCATCAGTGCAGAGCCTGACACAGGGTTTGAACCCATGAACTGCGAGATCATGATCTCAGCCAAAATCAAGAGTCAGATGTTTAATGGACTGAGCCACCCAGGAGCCCCAAAGTTCTGCTCTTTCTAAATCACTGTCAAGGGAATCATTTCTAACAAACAACAAACACGGTCAGGTTTACTGTGCTTACTTATCCACAAATTTCAGATTTGTTTCTCCTTCCAAAGAGATTTTATTTTGCATCTGATCATGAGGGTTCCTTGTCTTGATATCTTGATATATCCCAGCTGACTTAATGGTTCAGCTGATCAGATAGGCTTTGGGGACTGGGGCAATAGAGATTTTTGCAAAAATACATCTAAAATCATCACTCACTAGAGCAGAGTTTCTCAAAGTGTGATCCAAAACTACCTATGTGCAAACCATCTCAGGTGCTTATTCAACATTCAAACCCCTGGGCTAAAACTTAGAGCAGTTAAATGGGAGCTTCTAAGGCTAGGACCTGGGAATCTGCATTTTGCCATGTTGTCCAAGTGTACAGGCCCACAATGAAATCTGAGAACCCCAATCTAAGGAATCCCTTCCCCTTCAGGATGCAGTACAAAGATTGACCTTGGCTGCAGAGCAAATTAATCACACTCCCATCCTAACAAAAGTAAGGGATAATTCAATTCCATGTGGTTCGAAGAACTGCCATAAACTGTTTTAGGAGGCATTGATTAAAAGGAAAGAAAATAAGACAAAAACCCAAAACCTAACTTTCAATAATAAACGCAATAGTTATTTTTAATATCTTGATTCCAATGATCACAGGGGGAAGGCCCAGAAAGTCCACAAAAAAATCTGTTGTTATAATTTCCTGATTAATATTATACATAATGAATTATTTATTGAGCCCCTACTGTGGGCCAAATATGGTGTTTTATGCTGCCAGGGATTATATAAAGCTATCCTGGGATGAAAAGCATATGTTCACTCAGCTCTATTCTGGAAGAACCTCACTGATTTAGTGATTGCTGGAAATGAACATGCATGGTATGTGGGAAGGCAGTAATTTGACGTCTTAGGACCCAGACATAAGAGGCTTCCTAAGAGTTTGCTAAATGTAAATTACATCCAAGAAGTATGTGTGTAGATACTTGGTGTCCAGCCAAAGCACTGGAAGAGGAATGAGCAGCAGCATTGATTTGGGGGCATGTAGACTCTGTAGCACCCGTCTTGGCCACTTTATCCAACAACTTCCTGTACAATCATACATCCTCCAGGTGAACTGAGACTAGATACAATCACATTGGGAGCTCCCCTTCATTCTAGAATTCATTTAAGGTGTCCCTAAGAGGGGACCAACGCTTCATGGTTTGCCTGAGACTTCCTCTGTTTCAGCAATCAAAGTCCTAAGTTCCAAAAACCCTCTTGGTGTCAGACGAGCTGAGTCGAGTGGTCACCCTGATCCTTAGCATAAGGCAGGTGAGGTCTTTAGTTGGTGCATTTTCATTCAGTGAAGGATGGAAATCCATGACCATCTTGAACTGTGCAGCTCCTTTTCTTTACTGGAGAGCGTGACTACTCTAGTGGGACACCTAAAGTTCTTTCCTTCAGTATTCTCTGCCTTTTAGCTCTGACAATGCATGTTCCAGGAGCATCCAAGCTCAGATCGACTCAGACTGAGGATAATCCTAGGGAACCAGTAGGGAGCCTCTGCCAAGACTGCTGAGCAACCATGGTTTTTGGGTTTGGGTTTGTGAGTTTTTGTGGTGTTGTTGTTTGTTTTTTGTAAACATCGTCCAGGTCTCATCATCATCCTGTTCTTCCCAAAGTTCTATCTCCTCTCCAAATAACGAGTCTAGCTCTCCCAAACCTATCTTCATATCATTGAGTATTAAATTCCATCCTAACTGTCATTGAACCCAATCACAGTTTTAAAATATTTACATATCCCTGCCACCTCATCCTCACCCTTTAAAGCCTTATGATTTTGTCATTTCATAGTCTTCTTTCAGCGAAACTTTAAAACATAACTGGGATGAAACTATTATCTCAAAGAGAAAGTGTAAAGTGTAGGGTATGAATTAGACAGACTTGGTTCCAGCGAAATTTGCCAATTAGGTACATGAACTTAGGAAAGTTTCTTTCCCCAAGCCTCAAAATCTGCTCATCTATAAAAACAGAGAAAGCAATGGCTACTTCAGAGGACTGGGTTTTTTGAGGAATTTAGATTATGGATTTGAAGCACACTGAAGCATATAGCCTGATACTTAGTAGGCTTTCAATATACTGCAGCGACCTTCCTCACCCCAGCATCACACGCTTGTAACAAGGGTGGCATACACTAACTTTTACTATCAGGCTGCAGAATTTCAGATATCAAAGATGATGGCCAAAGCAGAAAGACACAAACTGCCTTCCTGAGGAGGGTAGAGAGCAACCGTCTCACTGCTTCGTAGTCTCACCTCCTCTATCTGAAGGAAGTATCTGGAAACAGTGGCTAAAGTCATCTTGCCCCCTGGTAGCCTGTGTGTTTTCAGGAGGCGCGGGCCTTGCTCCCTGGGGACCTCTTGTGTCACGTCTCTCATTCTGGAAAGGGGAAGGTGTAGAAGAAAAAGGGAAGTCACCGAAATGCAAAACCTGGTACCAGATAACCTATTCTGCTCCGAACACCGGTCCTGCCTGGGTGGGCTGCAAAGTTGTTTTGCAGGATTTTCAGGCGCCACCCCCAGGTGTTTGTCAGCGCGCGGTGACGGGGGAGGAGGGTGAGCTCACCCTAGAAACTGAAAGGCAGATGGGGGGGGGGGGGGGGGGCGGCCATGCGCGTCAGCGCTTTGGCTAAAGGACAGACCGAACAGCGGCCTCACGTGGGGTGAGGGGCTAGGGGCGGGAGTTAGGATCGAGGAGGAGTCAGGGAAGAACTCTGCGGAGACACCGGGCATTTCTTGGCACTATGAGGAAGGCTCCCCGATGTGTCAGTGTCGCACCCGGAGCCCGCGAGCTGGGCAAGGGTCCTTCTGCGATCAGCGCCTTCCCCTATCGTACCTCTGAGACTCCGCAGCTAAACCCGGAGCCTGAGCGAGGGCTGCAAGCGGACACACCCGCTTCGCGGGAAGCCTCAGTCCCGCAGAGGGCAAGAGAGATCTTACGGGGCGAGCCCTCTCCCGTCCGCGGCCCCCGCAGTTCCTGAGAGCCGGAAACGCACTCCCTTCTCGCCGTCGGCCCGGGGAGGCGCATGCTCCGTGCGAGGGGGCGGGTCACGGTTCCCGCCGGAAGCATTCTCTCCCAGGCGGCGTTTCCTTCCTGTGTGAGGCTGGCTGAGGGCTTCTGCTGCCTCAGTGTCCGCCCTGGGGTGAGTAGCGGGGTCCTCGTGGGATGGGCGCGGGCTCCCGCGGAGCCCCCTTGGGGACCGGCTGGCCTCCGGGAAACCGAGCAGGAGAGGTCAACGCGCCCTCCTCCCACGCCCCACCTCGGTGCCGCCCCCCCCCCCCCCGGCGTCCCGCAGCCCTTGGTATCCTGCGGATTAACCTCCAAGGGCGTCCCGGGCCTCGCCTTGGCTTCCGGCCCGGCCTAGGCCCTTAGGTCTCCCGTTAGCGCTACCCCTCTGACTGATGCCACTTGCGAGGGGACCTGTGTAGGCAGCTGGGGGCGCTGCGGGGGCTTGGGGGCGTTCCGGGCGACCTCGGCACCGGGGGGTCCTGGGCGGAGGCGGCCGGAGGGAGCCGGGTCTGACTGTCGCCCCGGCGCTGCCACCACCTAGTGCAGAGGCGGAGGCGGTTCTTCGGGCCAGGGCACGCTTTCGCAGAGGATGGTGCTGAGCGTAATAACGCGTCCTTTATGTGAAGGTTGGCAGGCATTGTCACAGGCTGTGTTCCTGGGGCCTTGTTCCCTGCGAAACTGGGACTCCGGGGTTGAGAAAAACTTTCTGCAACCCCGCGGTGAAATAGGACCGAAACACTCCACCCTCGGCCCCTCAGCTGTCAGTCGATTGCTTAGTGACGAGGTGGTCCGATTTCCAAAAGTTTTCTGCCCTGAAACGGAGAACTCTCTAAGTGAAACTCCCTGGGATCACGTTTGCCTAACGGATAACTGTGAATTGGCAGCGTTTGGGTTTATTTCTTTGTTGTACGTCATACTGTCTGTTTATGTACATATTTGTGTGTGCATTTGGTTCGTCGTTAACGTCTATACACGATTGAAACCCATGCCCTACTGTTGTACGCAAACGGAGCTTTGGTTGTGTTTTCTGCTGTCGTGGCACGGCTCCTGCAACGGCCTTAACATTGCAGGTGTATCAATGTCGTATGAATGATAGATGAGTGTACAATAAAGTATATACAGTTTCAACCTACAAGTAGAAGTTTCTGTTTCATTTCAGGATTTCAAAGTCATTGTAGAAGACGGACTACTGTTTTAGAGGTGGCCATAGGTCTAGAGTACTCTACGACAGGCACTAACTTAAATACAGGAATATGTGTAGCTAACAGGTTTTATGTCGTGATACTCCCTGTAGGATTCGAAAGTGGCATTGTCTCGATGTCTGGGATGTACTGAAAATCGCCCTGGTTGTTCGTGCAGTTCGGCGAACATCCAGCAGATGGCGGTTTCATCACTGCCAACCCAAACTTTTAAATAAAGGGAATCCTTTTATTCAGATGTCACTAGTTTTCATAGATGAGGCTAATTAGACCTTGATTTTTGCCTACTGGCTTATTTTCCTGTATGAATAATATCCCCACACAATGATTCCACAGGTTCCAACTGCATTTTCAAATGTACCCTGTTGGAATGAAGGTTAGCTAGGTCAATTTTCCTCTTATCAGGAGCGGAGTGCTGTTAACTCCTCTTTAGGAGTCCGTGCTGACGGATGAAAGCACACTTCAGTTTGTTACATGAGGAGAGAGTTTAATTAGGTGGCTCCTCCCTAGCTCCCATTATAAAAAATAGTAGGCATTATATATATATATTCATGTTCAGGAGGCGCTTTATGGTTTGACTCAAATCACTTAATGTCCCTAGGTCAAAGTTTCTTCATCTGAAATGAAGGCTTTCAATTATTTTGTTAAGTAAGTTGAAGTTAATGATGTACTGCTGTGAAGGAAATGGCCCCTAGTGATGGAGACACGTGGAACCCTTGACTTTTTGTTTTGGAAATCATTCAAAAGTCTGGCAGCGGTTTTGTTGGAATGATAGAGTGGGAAGTTTTTCTGCAGTCGGAGTTCATCTTTTGAACAGATAATTACTGAGTAGCCTCTCTCTTATGTGGAGAAGATATCAGTCCCTTTTTATAAGGAGTTGAATTCTGGTTGAGTAGGCTAGGCATTATAGAAGCTCAATAATGGGGCCACATGAATAATACAGGATATCAATGTGATCTGAAGGCTTTGAGGTGTGGATAGAATTTGACTGATCCTGGATAAAGGGGGAGAACTGGCCTATCTGGGGCACCAGGCAGATATGGTAGAGGGAAAATACACGTGGCGTTTTCTGGTACCAGTGCCTCCAGCTACAGAAGGGGTGAGCTGGGTTGGGGCTAGGTTAGGATGCCTTGAATGCTTGGAAATCCTGTTAGTAAAGGAAAAGCTTTGGGGAATTGTCGGAGCTATCCCAGGGGAGGGCAGTGAAGGTCTTTAACTGGGTAGTGGGAGTGAGAAGGCAAACCTGATGTTAGAGGAGAAAAGACCGTGGATGGTAATCTTTGCGGTTCCTGATTTTCACCTGTTGCTGAGCTGTCTGTGCAAAGTCTCACTTACTCCTTTTCACCTGAGTGCAAAATATATTCTCTCTCTCCCTCTGCCTCCCCCTCTCTTATTCGTATAGCATAGCACTCAGCACGGTCCTGTGCTATGAGAGACTAATGGCATTGTTCGAAGCCGAGATCCTATTTTGCAAAATGTGATAGTCAAATCATCCCCTAACAGCCTTAGTTTTCTGGGTAGTTACTGCCTTTGCTAGGCATGTGCATGCCTTCTGCAAGCCTGTACGGGACTGATGTAGCTGCTCAGAGATGCATGTCAAAGCAGGCATGTTGCCTCCTTTTTTCCTCTCTTGGGTGAGTACTGTAATCTTGTGGCTCAAAAATGTTTGAATGTATTGCTTCATATTTAGCTGGGTTGTTGGAAACGATAGGATGGCTCAAAAAATTTAACGTGACTTACTAATAGAGAAAATGTCATGTTTAAATTTAAGCAGGCCTTGAAAACCTTTGGAAGTAAGTCTGACTCTTAAATATGGAGAACAAACTGAGGGTTGCTGGAGGGGTCGTGCGTGGGAGGGGGAATGGGCTAAATGGGTAAGGGGCTCTGAGGAATCTACTCCTGAAATCATTGTTCACTATATGCTAACTAACTTGGATGTAAATTAAAAAAATTAAAGTAAATTTAAAAAAAGTAAGTCTGAGGGCGAAGCAAGTCTGTTCACGGTTTTAATTTCGCTCAGAAATCGCCTGCTGTCCATTGCACTTAGAAGAAATTCTTTTCACACCAGTAATGGGCTGCCGCCTTCAGTTGGGTTAGTGTTATAGTCAGTGTATCTCTACATTTTCTGAAGTAGTTATTTAAAAGCTGTTTAAAAGAGTAAATAAATACTTTAAGATATTGAATGCATTTTTCATCTAGAGTTATTGTCTGCCTAAATTCTGTGAGCTTTTAGGAAAATTCATTAAAAAGTATAATAAATCTTCAGTGTTTTAATATGTGCCGTCATTATCCAAAGAGAGCTTAAAATGTGTTTATTTAACATTTGAAAATTCATTTTCCCTCAAAATAAACCCTTTAAGGTAGATATTGTTGAATTTGACCAAGTTTTTCCTGCTGAGGGTGAACTACCTCTCAGTCTCCCGGTTTTAATCAATGTAGTTATTACCTAGTGACATTTGTTTGTTTTTTAAGGTTAATCAAGATGGTACATGCTGAAGCCTTTTCTCGTCCCTTGAGTCGGAATGAAGTTGTCGGCTTAATTTTCCGTTTGACGATATTTGGTGCAGTGACATACTTCACAATCAAATGGATGGTAGATGCAATCGATCCCACCAGAAAGCAGAAAGTGGAAGCTCAGAAACAGGTACGAGTGAGATGTCTGAGGGTCACTTTCCTTGTAGCTAGCTGCAATTTGGCCGTAAAACAAGGGGTATAGTAGAATTACACACTGAGAGGTTCGCCGTGTGAAAATGTGTTTGAACATCGTATTTAATTTCATTGTTTCTTAAAAAAGTGCTCGTTTCTCAGTTTTCCAACTCTATTAGTAACTTACCAGAATAAAACAATGATGAAGAATAAAGACATTCCAGCGTTTTGTTGTGAACATGTTCATTAGAAGATTTTTGTCAGCTAATGAATGAGGGAGTCTAGGTAAAATTTGTCAACAGACTGAAGAAAAACAATTTATCTTTAGTAATGGTATACAATTTGTTTTGCATGACATTTGAAATGTGGATAATACTGATAAGCTGCGATCTTACACTTGCAAACTACTCTGATTTCTAATTTAAAAATTGTTAAATGTTATTAGAAGAAGTAGTAGTTTTTAATTTTTTTCTGTTATTGCCTCTTGTGGTCATTTCCTTATTAGGATGATATATTTGCTTTGGTGTCTATTCTTACTCAAAAAAGTAGAACCCTTCAAGGAGCCTCTCAAATTTTTCTTGCTGTTTGAGGGCAAGATGTTCCTCCTGTTCGTCAATTTTTAGATTCCTTCTGTGAGTTGTGACTGGTGAACTCAGTAAACATTTACTGAGCTCCTAGCAGATTCTTGGTGCCAAGGGTAAAAGATGAATAAATCTTGTTCTTTTAAAATGCTCGGGGCCAATGTGGCAACCCGGGATGTGGATAGATGACTGCCTCACGGCACTGCGCATAGTTTGTAAATCGGCAAGAATCAGTGTCACGAACACTGCTTAGTGTTTGTAACTGAAGAGCAGTTCAAACAGGTATGAGTTTGTTCCCTAAATTTGATTACAAAATAGTTGACTCGAGGTCTAAATCATGTCATGATATCAGTCATTTTGTCACTCTCTGAGATGTCTGACCATTGCCAGGTATGTGTGTGTGTGTGCACGCGCGCCCGTGTGTCTGTGTAACTAAGTATATCCTCGTGTCAGCTGAAGTGCAGCTTTTCCCGCCACCTACACTATGAAAGCCCACTTCAGTCTGAGGTCACAGTGTTAACCGGTCATATCATTTTCAGAATTTTTAAAATCAGAGATGTGACTATCTTTTAAAGTTTATTTTATTTTGAGAGGGGGAGGGAAAGGGGCAGAGAGAGAGGAGAGAGAGAAGAAACCCAAGCAGGCTCAGTGTTTTCAGTACAGAGCCTGACACAGAGCCTGATCCCATGAACCTCAAGATCATGACCTGAGCTGAAACCAGAGTCGGATGCTCAACCACCACCACCACCACCACCACCCCCCCCCCCCCCCCCCCCCCCCCCCCCCCCTCAAAAAACCAAAAAAAAAAAAAAAAGAATGCTGGAAGGACTTCGTGATTATATGGGAAAACAAAAGGACATTTTACAAATGAATCCAAGATTTGTCTGGAGTCCTCGGAGACTCACAGTGTCTTTCATAGAGGTTTAGAAACTGGTAGCTAGGGCACGTTTGTGGGAAGATGATACTTGATTTGGGCATATTGAGTTTGTGTTGGTGGTAGGAATCCTGGAGAAAATGTTCATCCAGCAGTTAAAATTGTAGGTGTACATCTTGGAGGAAAGATCAGTCCTCAGAGCATCCATGAGATGCTCGTAAGCAGTCGGACTCCTTAGAGAAGTGAGTCTCACTGGATGCAGTGGGCCCAAGGGTAATTCTTGTAAAAACCTATCATTTGTGGGGTTTCCCCAAACCACTCCTCCATCTTCCTCCTACCACCATCAGGATTTATATGTTCAAACTTTGTTGAGAGTTTTTCATGTAATTGTCACTGTGATAGATGGGGATGACTATGGGAAGCAATGAGATCTCTAAAGGAGATGCTATCAAACACCATGAATAGTAGGCCAAAGAGTCAGCCTTCATCTAGGGAATGGGGAGACGAAGTGAAGCCAGTGGAGAATGAATAGGTCAGTTAGGGTAACTAGATACCTGGACTCACCTTTCTGCTGAGAACAACTAAACGATCTAGATAAAATATTTTCTAAAATCATCTTAAAGGTATTCATGAGCTAGCAAGAAAGGAAGAAATTCAGCTAAAAAACTGAAGGCAAAGATCGAAAAAGATACGATGAGCTTTGATGGCCAGCTTTCACGTTGGAGGAGAATTTGCTGAACCCACTGAATTTGAACTTCTCTTTTTATGGCCTAGAGGAGCTCAGGACACAAAGCACAGCCCTATTCCAAGGTAGGGTATCCAAGAGACAACAGTCCCATAAATCTTTGACTCCAAAAGACTATACCCTCTGGTAATTCACCTAAAGATAAAGATGTGAGATGGTTTATTTATTTTTTTTTTTTAATTTTTTTAACGTTTATTTATTTTTGAGACAGAGAGAGACAGAGCATGAATGGTGGAAGGGCAGGGAAAGAGGGAGACACAGAATCGGAAGCAGGCTCCAGGCTCTGAGCCATCAGCCCAGAGCCTGATGCGGGGCTCGAACTCACGGACCGCGAGATCGTGACCCGGGTGAAGTCGGACGCTTAACCGACTGAGCCACCCAGGTGCCCCGTGAGATGGTTTAAAAAGAGAAACTTACGACATATACTGGTTGAAGTGCCACGTAGAAATTGTAGATACAGAAAGTTGTTGAGAATAAAGTGATGGAAAATGCATATGCCATACAAATACAAAGAGAAAGCTGGGTGAACAAAAATAAACTTTGAGGCAAAAATATTAGAGAAAACAAGGTTCATTATGGAATGATTAAACATTCTGTTCAACAAGAAATAGAACATTTCTGTATTCGTGTGCATCTATTAATGCAGCCTCAAAATATATAAAGCAAAAAACTGATGGAACTATAAGGAGAAATAACATATCCATCATCATGGTGAGAGGTTTTTAACATTGCTTTCAGTAATTGGTAGATGAAAAGTTTTTTTGCTTTGTTTTGTTTTAATTCCAAACAGTCAACACACAGTGTTACATTAGCTTCAGGTGCAAAATACAGTGGTTGGTCAATTGTATACATTTCTCAGTGCTCATCATGATCAGTATACTCTTAATTCCCCTTCTGCTGTCGTACCTCTTCCTGCCCCCACCTCCTTTCTGGTAACTGTCAGTTTCTCCTCTATAGTCAAGAGTCTGTTTTTTAGTTTGCCTCCTTTTTCTCTGTTCGTTTGTTTTGTTTCTTAAATTCCACATATGGTGTTTGTCTTCCTCTGATTGACTTATTCACTTAACATTATACCCTATACATCCATCCACGTTGTTACAAATGGCAAGATTTCATTCGTTTTGACAGCTGAGTAATGTGTATCTAGACCACATCTTCTTTATCCATTCATCTATTGATGGACGCTTGGGCTGCTTCCATAATTTGGCCCTTGTAAACAATGCTGCAGTACACATAGGGGTGCATATATCTTTTTGCATTAGTGTTTTTATTCTGTGGGTAAATACCCAGTAGTGGAATTACTGGATCGTATGGTAATTCTAGTCTTAATTTTTTGGGGGTACCTCCATACTGTCTTCCACAGTGGCTACACCAGTTTGCACTCCCACCAACAGTGTGAGTGTTCCGTTTGCTCTGCATTCTTGCCAACACTTGTTGTTTCTTGTGTTTTTTATTTTAGCCGTTGTGACAGATGTGAGGTGATATTGTGGTTTTGATTTGCATTTCCCTGATGGTGAGTGACATTGAGCATCTTTTCATGTGTCTGTTGGCCATCTGGATGTCTTTGGAGAAATGTCTGTGATGATTATTTGGGTTTTTTGATGTTGAATTGTGTAATATCTTTTTTTTTAAGTTTATTTTTGAAGGAGAGAGAGAGAGAGCGAACGAGCAAATGGGAGAGGGGCAGAGAGAGAGGGAGACAAAGAATTCAAAGCAGGCTCCAGGCTCCTAACTGTAAGCACAGAGCCTAATGCGGGGCTCAAACTCACGAACCACAAGATCATGACCTGAGCTGAGGTCAGATGCTTGACTGACTGAGCCACCCAGATGCCCTAAATTATATAAGTTCTTTATATAATTTGGATACTAACCCTTTATCGGATATGTCATTTGCAAATACCTCTCTCATTCAGTAGATTGTCTTTTAGTTTTGTTTTTGTTTTTTTTTTTTTTTTATTTTTTTTCAACGTTTTTTTTTTTTAATTTTTTTGGGGGACAGAGCATGAACGGGGGAGGGGCAGAGAGAGAGGGAGACACAGAATCGGAAACAGGCTCCAGGCTCCGAGCCGTCAGCCCAGAGCCTGACGCGGGGCTCGAACTCACGGACTGCGAGATCGTGACCTGGCTGAAGTCGGACGCTTAACTGACTGCGCCACCCAGGCGCCCCGATTGTCTTTTAGTTTTGTTGATTGCTTCCCTTTATGATGTGCAGAAGCTTTTCTATTTTGATGTGGTCAGATGAAACATTTTTTAAAAATCGGTAAGGATATAGCAGATTTAAGTAAGTAGCGGCTTATCTAGTGGCCATGTATAGCATATCGTGCATCAGACAAATGCAGGGTACATATCCAAAGCACTCATGTAGGATTTACAAAATTGGACCGGTTGCTACATTGTACAGCAGACATCGGGCTTCGTGGTACCGGTAGCATGCTTGTTACATCCCCCGGCTCCAGTGCAGAACAGTAAGATCAGTAAATACCCAGTACGCTTGGACTTTTTTTTTTTTTTTGAAGGAGAGAGAGACAGAGCATGAAGGGGGGGTGGGGGGGCAGAGAGAGAGGGAGACACAGAGTCTGAAATGGGCTCCAAGCTCCAGGCTGTCAGCACAGAGCCCAACGTGGAGCTCGAACTCACAAACTGCAAGATCATGACCTGAGCAGAAGTCAGACGCTTAGCTGACTGAGCCACCCAGGTGCCCCCCAGTACGCTTGGAAAGTAAGAAACATCTCTGAAGATCTCCTCAGTGAAAGAAAATATAATAGAAATTAGAAAATATTTATAATTGAATTAAACGTCAT